CTTACCACACCAACCTGTCACATCCTCTCTTTCACCCCTCTTACCACACCAACCTATCACATCCTCTGTTTCAGAATTTGTTAATAGTTCTCTCTTACTCTTAATATTATGTAATGTATAACCAATACAAAACCAAGGTTTTCATCTATTATATGACGTATTATATTATGCTATTTTCTGACTAGCTTGGGTGAATTTGTAACAGCTCTTGTTTCATAGTTAGAAAGCCAGAATAATTGTGATAGTTATGGGACATTGTCTGCTTTTTGCATGCTATTATTCTGTTATCTGATGCATTATTTAATTAAACACAGATTATTTAGTGTATTACTACCATTAATATAAAAAAATAGGGTTAAGTGTCATCCACAGTCGACAGAAAAAAAAAAGAATACTCAAGTAAGTACTTTATTTCTTGTTTTTCATGTATATTCTTTTTTCATGATTAAAAAAATGACTAAAATGTAAAAATGGGGATATCTTTAGGCTAGGTTAGGTAAAGCAAATAATAATAATGCAATAAAAGTGTTTCATGAGACACGTGAGCATGGTGCGAATAATAGTTAGAAACGGTTCAAAAGGCAATAAAACAATTGAATTTAATTATATAGATGTATACTGTTACGAGTTTAAAGCTACTTAAGATAAACGAATGTAGTTTCATGTTACGATTTGAAGTCATTCTAGAAAGAGAAAAAGTGTAATTTAGGTTTATTTCGATTTTTTTTTCTTTTTGTGTTGGTTAGGAGGTCGGTCAAATTGACCAACCTTGTATAAGAGTTAAGGTATAGAAAATAACAAATAAAATATAAAGTTTTACTGAAACATTTGAAATGTATTTAGGAGGTTTTAGAGATTACACAAATGAAATTTCAGATTTATGAAATGAAAAAGTATTTTTAATCTTAACATGAAAATCACTTTGCACACGGACTATTCAAAACAAATACTCGATACATTCACGGACAAATCTTTTTTTAGTTTATTTATATTACTTCATTAAAAAATACAACTTTTTGTATGTGAAAAACTAATAATGTTTACTGAAAGACTGCCAAATTTTGTGAAGATATACATACTGTATTAAATGTTAGTAGTATCAAATCCATAGAGTTTAAACGAGTACAAACAGGTCACGTGGTCGGTCAAATCGACCGAGCCCATTTTGAGAGAGTTTAAACAGTTGTTCTGCTTGTATAGTAGTGCGAAAATATTAATTCAGATATATATAT